AAAAAATATTGTATACAAAGAAATGTTATTCAAATGAAAATATTACATTTCAATTTATAAAACCTTTAACATTATATACACAATTTCATAAAATGTGCTATTCATAAACATATTTTTGAACAATTTTTATTTTTCCTTTAGTAATATTAATTACATCAACTACTTCCAAAAACATTATTAGTACTTAAAAATATTAGGTATATCATTTGTCCGAGACATAAGACGTGCAACGCACGTGCTTACTACTAGTTAAGCTCAAAAATGCAAACGTAATGTGTTAATTCTATTTTAATTTTAAATAATAATATTGTCAAATTAAATTAATCTACTCACACCCAGCCCACCAAACAACTGTCCCCCATCCTACCCCACCATTTCCTTGTGCTCTTGCTTGTCGCCATCCCTTCTTACAGTTGTCGACATCCATCCGCCGACATCCACCCTATCGACGACTTCTTCAGCGGTGAACTAATCATTACTCAACAACAAATGAGCATCATTGGCTCATATAGTAAAGATAAACGGAGAAATATAGCGATCGTTGGAAAAGATCGACTAAGCATCGTCGACAATTGATTATCTTATTCATTCGCGTCTCAACAGTACTGGTATAATTTAAAACAATTTTCTAAATTTAAAATTGAAAACAACCCTGGTGTAATTTACAGAATATTCATCGAAGCAAATAACTTCAATTCCCACCATCTAAATCTAGTTAATTGAATTTGTGACCAGTTCAAATAAATAAGGTCAAAAAAATCAATGGCATATGACCAGATTTATTAAATTTGTGATATGTGACCTATACACTTTGACATATGACCTATTATCTCATCAAATGGGTTGTGACCAAATCTCTTGGATCTGTGACATGAGACTTAGGCCAAAGGTCTGTGACCAAATTTCTTGGATTCGTGACCTGTGACCTATGCACTCAACATGTGACCTATGATCTAATTCAATGGCATGTGAACTAATCTCTTGGATTTGTGACCAAATCTCTTGAATCCGTGACTTGTGAACTGTGCATTTTGACATGTGCCCGTTACATATGATCGTGACCTGATCCAATGACAGGTGACCAAATCTCTTGGATCTGTGACTCAATTCAATAACCTATGACCAAATCTCTTGAATATGTGACTTGTGATCCATGTAGTTTGACAGGTCACAAATTCAAGAAATTTGATCACAGAAACTCTATCTACTGAGAATGCAAAATCTCCCACAGCTGAAACTCGATCAATTAGCCATACCACCATCATTACTTTAATCTCGACAACCCTTCCTACTGTTGAAACTCGAATGGCTGAGGACCCTACCACCAACAGAATCTCCACAACTCTACCTACTGTTGAAACTCAAGCAGATGGGCAGGCAACTAGATCTACCACCAATACCATTCCCACAATTTCGCCTACTGTAGAAACTCAAACAGTTGGGTAGGCCACTATCCCCTCCTTCACCATTAACATCCTAACACCTAGCCAGCTAAACACAAACACAACCCCTGCTGTCATAGTTCCACCACATCCTCGAGAGATCGTAGCGCCCTCCGTGCCTTGGCCAGACTCGTGGACTTTATTTCTTAGACGTACTTCCATGGCCCCCCTCTTCCCGGTCAAGATAGATGGGAAGGAGCCCTATCAAGTAAAGGCCATAACCAGCCTCTTCCTTATTTTAAGAAAAAAATAGAGTAAGGTCTTTACCGATCTATTCTATGAAAATTCTTCCTTACCATATATGTCTTCACTCGGAAGAGCGACTGCTGGTGAACTTCTTAAGCAAGCCCTCATGGCGAGCCCCAAATCTCCTTAAGCCGCTCATTAAAGATTACCTTCCAAAAAGAAGGTAATCGAAGGGTCTAGAGAGAGAGGCCACCGAAGAGTATGGAGGTTGGAGTATAGAGAGAGAGGGGG